GTTTACAAAAGCTGACGTTTCGAGCGTTAGCCCTTCGTCGGAGTGAATAGAGGAATTGCGGGTTGTGTGTGCTTTTAAAGGCGGAAAATGGAGCTACGTTATTGGTGGGAACATGGCAACGAGAAATGCTGTACTAGAGAACAGCATTGTCAAACCCGCTGTAGAGTTCCACCAGAGTCTGGCAAACTAACCATTAAACACCTTCATCTAACTTTTCTCCCTTTAAATTGTTTCAAGCAAAGCATCCACTTTACAACAGTGACATCTGCCATTACGTCGAATGTGTTACAGAACAGAAGATCCAAAGGGTCAACTGTAAAAACTAATTCAACAAAAACCACTCACTTATAGTCAGCAGGAGGCTTGTAATCTTCATTCAAAGTCAGAGCTTCCTGTATAAGATTGTGTCTCTCTTCCTCTAGTTTCTTTCTCACTCTGAATTCACGGGTGTTCAACCTTTTCCCTTCTGTGTTATAAATTGGCTCAGGGGATGGTGACCTAAAGTGTGAAATAAAACAAGTAGACATTATTAAGAGTTTGATCCCTATGAGTGACTACTACATGTAGGTATTTTCTCCTTACAATACCACCCCTGAATCACACATTAAGGTTACAAGAATAAAGGAAATGATCACCAACTAAAGTAGTTCTTGATTGCTACACAAATTTTCCTTATCAGCAACTTGGGAAATGTCTAGAGAACAGTATGGAGAACATGCATACTGATGTTAGGGTGTGACGGGTTAAACTGTGGGTTTGAAATAATATTTTGAGTTTATTTACAAACAATATTACCCAAAATGATAACTCTCTTTACTACTGTCATTTCTCCCCTTGAAAACACTCTGATATAGCTGAGAAATTCAAAATTTGTGTTTTCAGTCATGGCATTGAAGCAAGACTTGGTTTGATTTGTATTTTTCTAAGATCAATGAACCCTTCAACCTCAAAGAGGGAACAGCATCCAGGGCTCAACACTAACTTTCCAACTTACTAGCCAAGTGGCTAGTGACAACTTAGATGTTAAACAATTTTAGTTTGTTTACCGGCCAAACTGGCCCAGCAGAAATCGAAAACCACTAACCAAAATTGAATTTCCACTAGTCTGTGACTAGTTAATGTTGAGCCCTGAGCATCTCATTCCTTTTGAAATATTAGCCCTAAATCAAACCCAAAGGTCATGAGAATCAAGCAACTGAAATTACCCAATAAAGATTAAGCTTGTTCAACAAATTCTCTTTGTAAGAACCATAGGAAATGTGTAAAGAACAGTTTGGAGAATTTACCTCTCATCGGGATTGTCTGGTATCCCAAGCTCTCCCGTCCGCAGCATTCTGGTAATTTCTTCAATCTTCAGTTGGGCTGAACAGAAAAACGATAACGATACAAAAGAATAAATATAGATACTGTCTACAAAAGATGAGGTCAATTTACTGTCAAATATTCATATTAGATGTAATTCCAAAAAAAAATAGGGGGATAGTGATACATAACTGAATTAAGAGGTGGCCATGAGAAAAAAAAAAAACAGACATTCTTGTCTAAATGCCAGGTTGTAGATAGGGAAATAGCCTGAAGGTTCAGATTCTAACTGAGCTGGCTAAAAAAAAGAGATTTTGTTGCACAATTTTGTACCCTCTACAGCAACCCTTGCCAAAATACAGTTGGCAATCACCTCCTTCTCAACTAGCAAATCTAGCTGGCAGCCCAGCACTTAGCAAAGACCCTGCAAATGAAGACAGGGTTTAAACTGAATGTCCCAGAAATCTACACAAGAAAAACATCCTACCTTGAAACACAAGGTGAGAAGCAAACAAGTCTTGACTAGAAAACAAATTCTCCTAAGGGCAATTAAAGAGAATGAAGGAGAATCAGTAGCAAAAATATCATCATTGATCATCCCCTTACCAATATACGCCTGTTGCTGCTCTGGTGATAGATTTGGCGGCATTGTTGTTGGCATTCCAGGGATAAAGGTTTTCTTTTCTTCAGTTCCCCATCTGCTTTTCCTTTTTTTCTTTCTTTCTCCATCTAAAAGTTAACAAAGAAGTTAAACATTTCACTCCCAGGATCTCATTACCTTTTATCACCTAACCTATCGACTCAGTCAATAAGTATGTAACATGGAAACATTTCCCTCAGCTCCTTAGGTGAATGATGTTACCTCTTTACCTGCCATCCTCTTGAGAATTGTGGAACTAATTCACCCTTATGCCTAGGGGAGACTGGCACTTAAGGCAGCCCAAACATTACAATCCACATTCCCATATAATGTCACTAAGGTCTGTAAACACTTTTTCCATATTAACTTTTATTTTCTTTATTTCAGATTCAAATAATGATTAACAAACGAAAAAATGAAAGGACATCATGTGAAATACAGCCTTAGAACTGATTCTCATTTCTTTTTAAAGAAGACAGAAAAAAGAACGTCAAATATTGCACAAATTTTACACAAGTAAGGGTGATATTTAGTATTCATGATTTTTTTTTTGGAAAATAGGACTCGTCTTCAATAAGCAAACATAAATTTGATCTCCGTGAAACAAAATTTAACTCGGATCAACTCAGCCGTCACCACAGTGATCTTCAAAACATGAGCGTAGTTAATCTTAGAAACATTGTAATCGGAAAAGATTAAAAATAAAACAACTAGACATAAACGACCTGAGGCAATCCTATACTGATCTAAAACGTCTGTTAAAATCGTGTAATTTAAAAGTTAAGGTAAGCTTTAACCTAACGAAAATTTCTGCGCTTTTCAAGGGAGCTACAGCAATCATTACAAGTTCACGTTGATCAACTGAAAATTCTCTCAAGCAAGTGTTTAGACTGGTATCTAGCCAGTAGATTTTACTGCATGATAATAATAAATTTCAGCATGCATTAAATCCAAGATCTCACGCAGGTACAAGTATTGTAACTAGGAAACTCACCTCCGAATTCGGAATAACCGGCTTCTCGCTTCAAGCCAGGTGTAGGGCTAACAGATCCGTGTTGCTTCGCGGCCAATATTGGATGAAGACGACCCAATGGAGTTGTATTAGCTCCAGTTAAAGACATAGCATTCGTCTTATCACACCACCGTAAAATTAAAACATTCAGTAGTAATTTGACAGTACAAAAACGTTAGGCGATTCGAAAAAACATTCGTTCTTGCCAAAAAAAGTATCACACGGCCACGATATTCTTAAGAATAGCAAAGCATCATGGTTGACAAGCACACTGGACATGCGCAATAGCTGTAAAATTTATGTAAAAGTCACAAAATGTCTCGAAATAATATGGAATTTCCCACATCCCGGCTAGTACATTTCGTTTTGTCTACGAGCTGAGGTCGGTTGTCGTCCGGCCGTTGCAGCACTGACCATTGCACTACAGGGTCCGTGGCCGGGGGCGCCTGAAAAACAAAAAAAACATAATCGGTTAGAAGCCTGGGGACTCTTGAGTAAATTTCAGCGATTTCTCCCCTAATAAAACCTGCAAAGTGTCTCAGTACGCTGATGACACGACTTTAATTCTGGCTAACGATTACTCTGTCACCCGCGCTTTTAAATTAATTAACACCTTCGAGCGAGG